TGGAGTCCCTGTGAACAGTGTGGGTTATTCTGGCACAGCTACAGTGGAAAAGTGCTAATCCCCACATCTGCACTTGTTAAACCTTTTAATTAAAGATCACTTTGATGAAAGTGCAAGGCTGAGAGGTCAGGGTTTTGCTACAGCACTCGAGACCCAAGAAATGGCAGCTGTGAGTGGTAGTGGGCTTTGAGACCTGCCCTTTGGAGCTCTAGTGGAAAAGATGAAGAGGCACCAGCTCCTATGCTCTCCATCTGTATGGGGGCAAAGCCAGACCCAAGAGGAATTTGGGTCTGATTCACAGCTGAGCAGGGAAGGTGACCTAAAACTGCCCCACATCAGTGACTTCATGTAAGTCATCTGACTGATGTGTGAGGGATTCACCAAAAGAGAGAAATTAAAAACTTCCAAAACCACCTTGGAGGACTGGGTTCTCAGATGAAAACGTGCTTAAATGTGTGGAACCCAGGAAGAAAAGGCTACATTAGTGCAGCCACAAGAGCACACAGCTCCTCTGGAAAGAATAAGAATGCTGTGAATTCTGATTGTTTGCTTGCCCTTTTGTTTTCCTCCTGTGGTATTTACAGTGCCCTGGTACTCACTCAGCTTTCCTAGCTAAGCTTTCACAGCTAGGGAGGTGGATGGAGCTGCCTGGAATCCTGGCATCAGACACCTGACAGGCGCCTTCCTGCTTCAGGCATCCTGCAGGAGGCAGAAGGGCAGAGGCAGCTTGGCTGTGCTCCTGTGTGGGGAACAGGACCCCAACAGAATGGGGATTCCCCAATGCACCTGCCCCACTGACTTCTGGAAGAAGTTCCTCTCAAACCTGTGTGTCACTCCCAGGCATCGCTCCTATTTCCCTGGGGAAATACTGACCCTAAATAGGCAGAATATGGTGTGTTTGAGATGCTGAAGACACCAAACTGCTGTTTGCTGGGGTCTCCAGACTGCCAGGCTGGCTGCCAGCTTGTTAAACACTCACTGATGTGCCATTAGGGAGCTGAAGTGTCATCAGTGTCATAAACCTGAACCTGTAGCTTAATTTAGGGGCTTGTCAGACATATGGTAATGGGCTGGTAAGGCTTGGTGAAAGGTGGTGTCTGCAGGCATCTGTAAATTTTTAATCTCTATATACAATAAAATATTACACATTAGCTTTTGCTCTTGCTGGCAGATTTCTTGTGGGAAGATCTACTTTGGGACTCCAGTGGCACTGAATACTGAGCAAGTGACAGAAATAGGGAGTTTGGAGCAATGTCTCTGCTGGCATAGCTCCATTGCAGCCAGAGGGTGAAATCCCAGCCCTGTTGAGATGCACGGGACTTGTGCCAGGCTTCAGCTGCTGAGAACTCTTTTAGCAACTCAACCCTGATTCTGCTTTGGACTGAAACCTCCTTGTGGATCTCATCCTAGAAACACTTGCATCTTTCACACAGAAGAAAAATGTTCTGCAGCAAGCGAATGGGCTTGGAAATGATTTAAACTTCATCAGAGGAACCCTTGCTGTAGGCATTCACTGTGGGCTAAATTTGGGTTGTGTGGTAAGACAGAGTGGCTCAGAGACACCCAACTCCCTCAGTGATGGAAGGGCTCAAGCTTTGGCTGTAGTCACAGTTTATTGGATGTGCTCCCTGTTACTCCTGTGAACAGCAGGAGCAAAGTTTTGGTGCTCTCAGTGTAAATCATTCATGCAGTCAGGGCTCTCCAATTTTTTTAAGACCAGGAACCCTAGATATTGCCAGTGTATCTCTCTCTTCTCTTTACAGTGTATATTCCGGTCCTGGCATCCCAGCTCCTTTTCCAGGCCTATCCATTGTCCCAGGGTATTTGCTGGCAGCTCTTGAGGATGAAGACACACCTGCATCAAAGTCCCTGAGCTCCTGTTTGTGTGAGACCACAGCCCCAGAAAGGTCAGAGAGTGGTGCTTCCATTACCCACGGCTGTGACTTGATAACCTTATGGTTCTGAGGTCAAAAAGCAGGAAAAGAAGTGCTGAAAAACCAAAATAAATTATTAATAATTCTGGTTTCTTTATACATTACAAAGAAGCAGGATGGGGAAAAATGTTTTGCTTTGCAGGTCACCTTCACAGCAAATAGGAATCATTCAGTCACTGCTGGATAATACCAAGGGCACTCTCAGAGGCTGGAAATTGGAATGATTAAAAAAATATGAGCAAGATTTTAAGTGTCTCTGAGAAACAAAGAGAGCAAAATTGTTCATCAGTGGTGGAACAGACACTGTAAACAATGTATTTAATGAATCTGGAAGGCTCTTGTCAGGGAGCAGATGACCAGCTCTGTCTTTCCAGCACAGTTCCAGTCCCTCACTGAAGGAGCTTGTGACCTTGCCTTCCTATCCCACACATCAAGCTTTCTGCAGCTGTGTCTCTTTTTGCATTTGAGGAAACAGGAAATATTTCACAGAATCACAGAATCAATGAAATTGGTTGGTGAGCTAGCACAGGTTGCCAAGGCTTGTGTCCAGTTGGGTTTTGAGTATCTTCATGGAGTGAGATTCTACCACCTTTCTGCACAACTGACTTGTTTTTGGGCATTCTCACAGTAAAAAAAAAGAAATTAAAAAAAAATTGTGTTTCGGTGCAATCTGCTGTTTCAGTGTGAGTTTATTACCCTGTCAGTGAGCACTACTGAGAACAGTCTGCCTCTCTCTTGCAGGTGATCTTGGAAAGCCAGGCAGCTTTTCTGGATGCTGTGATCCCCAGGACCATGTCACAAGCAGATCCCTGAAGAGGTCAAGGTCGGCTCTTCAAAATCAGAGTTGTGGTCTTGCTTTTTGTGCCACTGTTCCCTCTCAGGGAGTTCAGGATTCTGTCTCACAGGCACTGCACCAAATGCTGACCCACCTTCACATTTCCAAGCAGTTCTTCCTCAATTCTGAGGTCCAGCAGAGCACCCTTGCTTATTAGCTCTTCTATCAGCCACACCAGGGAGTTGTCAGTGTGCTCCTGAACTCGCCTAGATTGCTTGGGCCCCTCCCTGTGTAGTCATTTCTAGCTCAAACCTTTTCCTACCAGCTTCAAAAGAAACCTTGGTATAAAATAAATCCTCCATGCTTGCTGCTGGTCCCTGTGCTCCCACTGCAGGCCTGGTGCAGCATTCCAGGTGTGCTGGCTGTGAGCCCACATCTGCACCTCTGCAGCTGCTCTGGAGTACCAGCACTTGCCTTCCTGGAGACAGATGTTCACCTGAAACCATGTCACCAGTGACACTCCACATAAGTGCTCTTGGTGAAGTGGTTTAGTGTTTTTCAGCTAACCACACTTGTGACTTCCTTTCTGCTCAAGGCTTGCCATAATGTGAATAAACTTAACTTGTTATTTTGGGTAATTTTTTTCCTTGAAAAATTGAAGGGTTCTCCTCAAATCTATTGTGCTTGAGGTTGAAAACACAGGATACAAAATTATTGTTTCCAAGGGCTCTAAATAGATGCGGCGGACAAAATGAAGGAATGAAGGCAGAAAAACCACCTATGCATGAAAAAAACGTTCCCAGTTTTAAATAAAGGTTAAAGTATTTTTGTCCAACCTTTGCTAGAGACGCTGTCATTCCTAGAGTTTGGCTTGAAATCCTTCCCAAGTGACTAAATTAAAGCCATTCATGTACTGAAATACAGTTGATGACTCTGAAAGTTTTAGTGCTACCGTGTTATAGATCCCACCAGGAGATAGGCCCTGAGGGAGTCTGTCATTTCCCTCATCTGCACTCACTGAAGGATTCAGTACAGAAGTGGATTAAGCTCTTGGGGGCTTTAAGCATACTCTCAGACTCCTGCAGTATATTTCATTCTGAGCCCTGAGTGACACCCAGCAAGGCTCTGCTGCCTGCACACAAATATTGCTCAAAATTCCTTGGGCCAGAGCTCTTGTGTGGCAGAACGTGCGGCCAGGCATTTCACAAGCACTGTCATCTCTGGATTTCTGCTCACACAAATAGAAAGGGAAAGCTCAGCCAGCTAGGTTTGGCTCTGACACGGAGCAGCAGTGCACACACACTGCTCCGCTGCCCTTCCTGAGGGGGAGGGCTGAATTACAGGTGTTGGGGTTGTTCTGCCTCACAGAGATTCTCTTAGGATCCACCACCAAGGGTGTCACAATGCTTGGGGGCTTCTCCACCACCTCGATGCCTCCTGCCTGGAGCAGCTCCCTTCCCTCATATTTTACACCCTGCCTGCAGCCAAGCTCAAGGGAGTAACGCTTCTCCTCAAGAAGCTGCCGGCAGAATTCAGATGCTTTGAGAGCGTTTTTAGTGTTCATCACGATTGAGGCTCTCATTTTAAGCACAGGAAAACCTAAAGCAGGCACAACCCCTGGCTCTCCCTACATGCCTCTAGCATTCGGTCCCAGGGTCAGAATGATGTGGTGTAGCCCTGCCAAACCCCGAGGTGCCCGCAGCCCCGACAACAGCCTTTTCTGCTCGGCGGAAACCAACATCAGATACCTTCCGGAAAACAAAAAACTAACTAACTGACAAATCTTTATTTCTTTATTTCCCGTGAAGGAGGGCAGAACTGCCGGGAAATCGCCCTCCGGGAAACCTGTGACAACGCTCCTCTCAATGTTACAGTGGGGGCTTAAAATGGCGCGGAAGGGCAGCGAACCGCTCCCTCACTCGGCTGTGCTGCACCGGCCGCTCTCGGGGCGCGGCGGGGCTGCTGCCCGGAGGGAAGCCAGTCGGTGGGCGAGGGGCTGAGGGGAAGCCGAAGGGGTGAGGGGAGGCCGGGGAGCTCACGGAGCACACCCGGCTCGGCAGCCCCGGCTCAGCAGCGGCAGCGCCCCGAGAAGGAGAAGATGGCGGCAGCAGCGTTGGCCAATCAGCGCGCGCCGCTGGCTCGCGCCCGCCCGTTACCCAGTCCCGGCGCTCCGCGTGCCCCGGACGGTTCCATTCGCCGCAATCGCCCCCTCCCGGCGCCCGCGTTGGTGGCGCCCGGCCGGTATAAAGCAGAGCGCGGCGCACGTGTGCTCCTCAGTGCCGGCGGGAGAGGGAGGCGGGGTGGTCTCTGTGCTGGTGGTGTCGGTGTCGAGAGGGAGCGGTGGGGGTCGGGCGTGCCGCACAGTCACCGCACAGCCCCTCGGTGCTCGTGTCCCCGTCCCCTGTGAGGGTCGCCGGTGCCCCCCTGCCCGGCCCCGCGCTGCTTCTGCTCCCCCGCGGGATGCGGGCTCGGCCCGCCCCGCTAGCCCTCATCCCCGCGCCGGCCGCAGCATGAGCGCGGCGAGCGACACGTATTTCCTCATAAAAGACATAAAACCCGGACTGAAAAACTTAAATGTCATCTTTATTGTGCTGGAGATCGGTAAGTGGCGCCCGGCACGCCCCACCCCCGGGCCGCCCACGCGTGTCACGGCGGGCGGGGGGGCCGGCGGCGCCGTGCCCCCCCTGAGCCGCGCTTCTCCCCGCAGGGCGAGTCACCAAGACCAAGGACGGGCACGAGGTGAGGTCCTGCAAGGTGGCGGACAAGACGGGCAGCATCACCATCTGCGTGTGGGACGAGATCGGCGGCCTCATCCAGCCGGGGGACATCATCCGCCTGACCAAAGGGTGCGTACGGGACCGGGCCGCGCTGCCCTTTGTCACCCGCGGGGCCCCTCCAGGGCCACGGGGGACACGGCCGCCGCCTCCGACCCGCTCCCTGTAACCGAGCCAGCGCCCTAAGGTCACTTGCCAAATTAAACCCACCTTTCTTTCCCAGGCCGGAACATGCCTAGCGTGAGCGTGCAGGCTAGGAGGGGCTTGGGTTTGTAATGAGGAGGTGGTGGTGGAGAGATTTGTGTTGGCTTTAAAAAGCTCCCGAAGAAAATACTTCTGGGGCAGGGGGAATGCAACAGTCGGTCCTGGCCTGTAAATCAAGCAGGGGAAGTCCAAAGCATGTTCTTATTTTCACAGCTAGTTCTTTGCTCTGGCAGTCAGCTCAGTAATGAAAGGTGAGGTTGATTACATATCACGCAGAAAAGTTGCTTTTCATTGGAATGACGTAACAAAAGTGACAGGCAGAAGAGAACCTTTTCAGTTTCACTATAAAACTTCATTCTAGGGCTACACTGTAGAATGTGTTAATTTGTTTCGGTGCAAATAGTTCCTCAGAGGTCATTTAATTGGAAAAGGAAACAAACCCACCCCCCAAACTTAATGTGAGAATGCTAGAGTCAATCTGAAAATCCTTTTCCGTGTCACTTAATTGTCACTAGCAGAGTGATAGTAAGTTTTCATTTGAGTTCTTCATCATGTCAGTTAGGTTGCACTTTTAGAAATCCATTACACTGATCCTTTGGCCTACGGCACTCCAGGATCTGCAGTGTGTGTAAGGTCCTGTTAATTTGTTTTTATCAAAAAGTAGGTGAAAGGCAACTCAGGCTGCTAACTGAGCTGCTCTAAGTTGTTCGAGTGTAATTCTCAGTTCTGGACTGGAATTGCATGACCCTTGCCACCAAAACTACAGCTGCTTCCTCCTATGCAAATGTCCTTTACACGAAGGGGCTGACTCCTCAGCAGAGGTGGTTCTGGGGAAGGCTGCTTGCGTGGAGAGCACGTGGAGCTCAGGGATGGGTGGAACTAAACCAGAGCTCCGGGCCAGCACAAAGCCCCGTGTGTAGATGACATTGAAACAAATTAAGAGCGATACTGTTCAGCTGTATTACTGTACTCCCTTCTGTGGCTGGCTTACTGTAACTGCTCTGGAGTCATGGCATCCTTTAATCTAAAAAACTGAGCTTGGCTTGTATGTATTAAATTTATGAGCTGACATCACTGTTTCTGGTGGGTGGCAAAGTCATGCCTTCATTTACATGAATTGCATGCTCCCTTAGGACTGCGGAGGGAGTGAAATGGCAAAAGCTAAATCCATTCTGGTTTGGCTCTCATCTTCAGAGAACTGGCATACAGGCCTCTCCAAATACAATGTTATATTTAAATAGAACTGAGTGTGTGGTGTTGCCATTGCAAGGCAGGTACATTTCAGCTCTGTAGGCTAATGTGGCCTCGTAGTGCAGGATGTCCTCTGATTCAAGCAGAAAAGCTACACAGGCACCACGAGTGAACATGCTTTTTTTTTGCCCCTTGCTGAATTTCAGGCTGCATATGCATTCCTCTGCAAAAGCAGACACTGTTGTTTACTTCTGTAAGTTAGTGAACCCATTTACAGGAAGGTGTTGCACTTAATATTTCTGAATTAAAAATTAGTGCTGGAGTTTAGTGCTTTATGGCCAGCTCTTTTTGAGATAAAAACCAATGCTTGCATACCTGGAATAACTTTGTGCTGGAGGTTGTTAGTCATATGGTTTGCTGGGTCTTTTCCCAGTAAATATATGTTTGACTTGCATTTATTGTTTGGTGGCTCTTTTCCTTTTTTTTTTCTGCCACAAGACTGCCTGGCTAGCTGGTTATTAAAGGTTAAGCAGTGAGGGAGTCTTTAAAGTGAATCTGTGAAGTGCAGAACACTAATCCTTGTTCTGGATGGAAAGCTCCCCAGATGGTATCTGCATTTACAGCGCCTGTGCTTTCCTGCTGAAGTGCAGAACAGGTTATCACTGCCCTGGCAGTGCTGTCCCCTCCTGCCAGCCTGGCTCCTCCCTGGTGCCTCCTCAGGGCCCTGCCTGTGGCCGGATGTCTCCCAGTCTCAGCAGATAAGGCAGAGGGCAAGAGGAAGGTTTGTTATCTCTGTTCCAGAGATACAGCCGGAGTGAGGAAGTGGTGACTTGTCCAGAGTGGTGACTCGTCCAGAGTGGTGACTCCTCTGAGTGCAGTTGCTGAGGCTCCCTGTACCTGTGCTAGAAGACACACGCATTCTTTTTAACTGCCTTGCACTGTGCCTGTGTTTCTGGTCTCTGTTTTCCTCATTCTCTGCACATACACTATGCCCCTCGCTGAAGGGAACAATTACACAGAAGGTTTTGTATGGCTCAGATTTCAGTGCTTGAAGTCAAGTGCCACCATAAAGAATAGAGTGCACTCACCCTGTCTTTGTGAGGGAACATTCCTGCAATCAAAAACCTATTTCAGTGTCTTTCTATGCATCACTTGAAGTTTGGTGGCCAAACTTGTGCCTTTAAAAAACCCAGTCTGGTAAGGACCTATATTAAGAATGGAAGCACTTTTGATCATGCACATTTAGGAGCATTAGCTGTTCTCCAGCAAGCAAAGGTGATTCTTCTGGCTCCTGCTGAAAGCAGAACTGAGAGTTGTCACCAAATATAACACAGACACTGCTTTTGGCAAAATGCCTTTTCTCTGCAGGACAAGTCATAAGGGTTGTTCCAGTCAACCAAAGAGCATTCAATCTCAAAATAATTGGCTGCTTTCCTGGAATTGTCAAAGGAGTCTGCTGAGCTTCCGGTACCTTTTGCTAGAAGTAGTACATGGGGATCTATAAACAATTGCTGTTGGTGACTTTGGGGTCCCTGGGAATTTTTTTGGTCCATGCTGGTGTGTAATACTTGTTAACTTTATGGAAGATAGCATCCTTCCACTTCCTCTGTCAGCTCATTCACTAAGAAACTGCTTCACTTGTCCTTTCTCTGGCCAGGTACGCATCTCTGTGGAAAGGATGCCTGACACTTTACACAGGACGAGGAGGGGAGCTGCATAAAATTGGGGAGTAAGTATTGTGTGTTCATACCTCTCAGCAGAGTGCCATGGTAAGTATGAGACCTGGTAGCTCTTAGGAAATGGAATTCAGGGCAGCAAAAGTGCGTTCTCAGTTGGTGGTGGATGTAATGAGCTCTGGCCCTGTCTGAACTGTAGGTACTTTGAGGAAAATCAGCCTCCATCATTGGCACAGGTCTAGGAGGAGGAAATGTATAAATGACAGTCTGCTTTGCTTACCTGGGCCTTATCTTGATTAACCACTTCATTTTGGTGGGAGCCTTTTGTGTGTGTGTCATCGTTGAGGGCCAGGCAGTGCAGAGAAGGAAGAGCAAGGTCACTGCAGTGAATCATAGCCAAGCAGAAACAGGCCTCATTAAACCTGCTTTAAACTGCCCACAGACTGGGGCAACAGCTCCTGCCCAAGAGCAAACATGAGTAACATTCTTGAGCAATAGAAAAAATAGCAACCTTTTCTACTAGAAGAGTACTTCCTCTGTTGCACAAAGTGCTGTGGGAAACCCTGCAGTCATCAGGGAAGTGGGGCTCTGGGGTTATTACATATCCTCCTATATGGTTCAGAAATGCCCAGTGTTCAGATTGATTTACACACAAAAAAAAAAAAATACAGATTGACTTGTGCAAAATCCATTACCTCAGAAGGGTTACCCAGCTGACTTACTCCCCAGCAGGCTGGAGTGATGAGAGTCCTTATCTGAGTTGTACCTCCCAGCAGCAGGTGGGAGCTCCGCTTGTGTTTAACCATTCCAAGCAGTGTAATGATCCAGATCTTTCTTCCTCTGCCATAATTTCCATGTTGTGAGTTGATGGGCCTATTCTGCCATGGTCCCCTTGAGTGGAAGAGGATGAGAGCATCCTTTTCATTCCAGTTTCATTGCCTGTTTTGGGCTCCTCTGTGCTATTATTGTTAATGGGGCCCTGCATAGTGTGGGAGTGAGTTTTCTCTAGAGGTGTAACGCAGTCCCTGTCTGGGAGCAGGCTGGGTGACTCAGTGCCTCAGGTGACCTTGTGAGTGGGTGCTGGACAAGATTATGCAGCTGGAAGAGGGACAAAGGGAGCCCTTTCATCACCTTTTGTTTTATTTAGGCCAGTTTACCTCCTTGATTAAATGAATGCTTGCCTCTGCTTGATTGAAATGCCCTCACCAGGAAGATGTGGCAGCCTCACCACAAGCCTATAAAGGGATCAAAGAGCCTTTTAATACCTACAGATATTTTCTGAACAGTGGGGTCTGGATTAATTGCTTCTAGGTGATGGGATGTCAAGAATATATGCTCTGTGAATTGTGAAGTTGAGAACTCTGTTAAAAAATGGCTTTAGAACTTGCTAATAATCCTAATTTCTTCCCAGGTTCTGCATGGTGTACTCAGAAGTGCCAAACTATAGCGAACCCAACTCGGAGCACGTCGGGCAGAACAAACTGGTATGTTAAACTTGTCTGAGGCTTGTGGCATAAAGTGCTCTTTGTTCTCAATATTTTACACTAGGTTGTGATCAGATGTGACTCTTCTTGAAAAAGGGACTCAGAGATATATAGCTAGAAATGAGCCAATAATTGAAGTAGCAGATAAATTCCATGTGGAGCCACTGTAAGAACACAGAGGGGACAAAATCAGCCCCTTTCTGTAAAAATGTGAATTTTCTTTCTCTGATCCATGTCTTTTTTCTTTTTTTTTTACCCTTCTCTAAAGGCACAGGGTGAACAGAATAATATTTCTGCATCAAGTGGTATGGGTACTTGTACTTTTGGGCCACTGGGTAAGTTTTTTTCAGTTTGTAGGAGTGAAAAAATGAGAAAAACTTAATGGGAATAGAAATTTATTTCAAGGGTTCTCCATTCTTGGGATAAAAAAGTGTACTAGGCTCTAAGAAGTCATTCAGCCTGGGGCCATAACCTCAAGCATGTAAACATGAACATTTCCTGAAAATGTTTTTAGGATCTCTTCTGTAGGAGAGAGGAGGAGATTAGAATGTTTGGGGTGTCTTTATCACATAAGAGGTCTTGACTAATCTTAAATTGTTGCGATGCTTTTGAAAAGTTTTTGCAGCACTTGAAATTCTGCTTTTTTAAACTTCTGAGACATTGGCTTTAAAAATTACTTCAGTCTTGCTAGACACCATGCCTTTCCTGCCTGGTTAGCTCACAAAAACAGATGTGGTGGTAATCTGAACTCCAGTATTTGACTTATCCATATCATTTTGTGCTGTATTTAAACATAGAATCTTAAATATGAAAATGCTTCAAGGCTTTGAGCAGGTGTAAACTGAGAGGGAGCCTTAGCTACACAATGCCCATGCTCAGTAGCTGGTGTTGTAGAGCTGTTGTTGTGACCCCTCTTGCTTTAGTTGAGAAAGGGATGGAGAGAAAGTAGTTTGGGAGGGGAAGGTAAGCTGTAATTTGGGATCTTGCAGTGCCAGAGAGGCTTTTCCTTCTGGTCTTCAGGATTTGGTGTTTACTGCAAACTCCATGTATTCCCTGTTGGTTAAGTTACGTAAGGAATCAGTGATTTCAACCCATGGAACTCGTGATAATGTTTTTTCTGTCTTTTTAGGAAATGGTTTACAAACTGGACCTGAAGCAAGTGGATTTCCATTCACGTATAACCACGGCCACATTTATGCAGGTAGTGGGAGAGGCAATGGACGAGGACCTGTAAATCCAGCACCAGCTAACAGTGTTCAGCCTCTTCCCCCTGCTGTCAGTAACGGGAGGGACCCACGCAGGGCCTTTAAGAGATGACTATGCCAAATGTGGTTATACAGCTTGCTTAAACTCTACACTCTACTTGAACACTTACTGCACTTTTATTTATAGTTAACTGTGAACCAGTTTGTCCTTTGGTTTGTTTTGGTTTTTTTTTTACCTTTTGGTGTATGGAGCAAACTTGATGTGATCTATTTCTTGTTTTGCATCAGGGAAGCACAGTGAGTCTTCCTCGTACATAAAGGGGGTAGGGGGAGAAGGTGGATGTGAGGAATTAAGGGTCACAGGTGAAAATGTCTCAATTAAAACTCAGTGCCCTTTGCTGAACAGAAGACAATTTCAGTTACATACATGTATTTCTGTTGGTCAGCCATGTAGCCTTAATAGGTCTACTCTGTCCTGTGCAAGCATGTGTCGACTTCTGTTAGGGATAATGGGAGCTCTTCGTGTGGGAAGAGAAATGAAGGGAAGAGCACAAGTGCTCTGGTGAGCTGGGTGTCCTGGGAATGAATATGGCTTGTGAAGCAATAAGTGTAAGGAGATGGTGGTGCCAGACCTAGTGGTGTCTCTGGAATCAGGGAATGGGTAGCTTGGATCACAGCTGAGGATGTGGTGAGTGTTATGAAGCTTGATTCTGATTCCAGAAAGATGTACGCTACTTGAAAAATTCTCTCTAAACACCTTATCACTGTCAAGGAAAGTGACACTGATTTTTGCTTTGGATAGAAGCTTGGATATTCGTTCTTGCTTTGCATGAGATAGCAGAATAGGAGGATCTAAATTCAGACAGTGTTGGGGAATATACTCTTTGTAGCCTTTCCTTGTGTAAAAGTCCAAGGTTACTTTGCAGGAGCCTGAATTTCCAGGAGTGGACTGTTCTCAAATGCTGCATTACCCATCTCTTTGATGAGTCTGCCTACTCCTCCTTCCTTCATTCACTTTTCCAAATAAATTATGTATTAGATGAAGCTGTATATGTGGATTGCAGAGGTACTGGCCAAGCACACAGCTGCACTTGTGATGCTGTTAAGCTTTCCTTCCTCTGTTTTATATGAAACGTGAGTTATCCCTTGAAGAGCCCTCCCCACATCCTGGGGGGCAAACAGCTGATTTTATTTCTGAGCTCACAAATGCCTTGACTCTAGATGAGAGTCCAGTGCCATATTTCAGATCAGGTTCAAACACAACATGGAAACTGAGGTGTCATACTGGATTCATCTGTTTAACTCTTCTTAACTGACCTCTCAAATAAAAAAAATTGCACTAACCACATCAACAACAAATCTAACTTTCTTTCTGTCAAGCCATAAAGACTTCATGACAAAAGGCTGTTTCTGAATTGTGAGTTGTTTCTGTGGTCATTCATGTTCTTTAAATCTACCGATGTGTTACTAATGTTTACAAGTTGTTTACATTTGATACTTTTTGCTTTTGGTACTCTATCATGATCTGTTGACAATTGCTTCTAATTGGTGCAAGTTCCCTGTTTGGTGTGAAATGAACTGAAGTTTGAAATGCAAGCATCAGCAACAACAAAGTGCTGTAGGGAGGTTGAGACCTGTGTGCCCAGACACCTGAGGGCTGTTTGTCTCTACTCTGGTAAAATGCTTTCCTGGTACTTCCAGGTGGAACTAGTGAAACTTGTTTTGAACACAAGAGGGTGGCATGCCTCAGGAGATCCCCTCTGCATGCTGCTGTGGAAGAACACTGGTCATTGGTGAAGCAGAAAGCAGGCATTTCTGGGGAAATGGTGTCAGGAGGAGACGTGTAACTCAGGGACTTTAAATTGCTTGTTTAAATAAATGTGATGTATAGTCGAGATGCATGGACAGCCTTCTTCTGCAGTGTTGCTCTAAGACATTTGATGTGCTTGTGAGAAGGAAGCCAAGAGGACTTCTAAACGCAGGAAGTCTCTGACGTGTTCCAGAGGTACAGAGGATGTAAGTATGGTGTGAGCACCATGCTACCCCATCAGTAGTAGCTGTAAAGTTGGCAGAGTGAAACAATGCAGGTGATGGCATGGTGGGTCTTGGTGTTCATTGGAGTATCTCCAGTGTGGATGTCCAGTCCTGATGGTCTTAACTTCTCTGTGGCATAAAGAAGTTAAAATCAAGGGCAACCCTGTGTTAGTGTGTGCTGAGGTGCCTGATGTTTGTAGCTCTATGCATCTGAGCTTTTATTAAGCTAATAAACAGAATACTTGTTCACAAATTCCAAGTAAAAAGTTATATGATTAATGCTAGTAAGAGGCATAAGGGTAAAACCCTACAGTCAGGTGGATGATTGATGTGCAGTCAAGAGGAAAAAAGCAAGAGACTGGTCTTCACATTCTCAAGGTTAGTAGCATTCCTGCTTTCCTGTTTCTTACATGAAACTATTGCAGTTTATTAATAAATTTTTACTTCTTTGCAGGGGAAATTTGTGCCCTGAAATGGACATGGAGTTAAATATAATTTTTCAAGGTCCTCTGATCTTCCACTGAACCTGTGACAAAGTTGTTTCCCTCAGAGGTATCAGTGTCAAGATAGTGAGCTCTCAGCTTGCAGAGGAATCTGGGAGCCTTACAGCTGTTGGGATCATACCACCTTGGTTCACAGAGACACAGACACACACATCTCTGTGCAAACAAGCAGTGTGAATTACTGTGACATGATAAGGCAGGTCCTCAGTGCTCAGTGATGAGGTCAGGGAGTCTCTTTACAGATACCTTCCTGTTAATGGTTAGGCTGCACTTAGGGTACTCTCATTCTGGATAATACAGATTTCCAAAGGACAAAAGACACACTGGAAGGTGTTCATGTACCCAGACACAAACTGCACAGTGCTGAAGGGCTGCTGAGTAGTCCCCATTCACTTGAATCACAAGATGCCTTGTTCTCATCACCTGACAACAGCTCCCCCTCTCCTGCCTGCCCCAGCACAAGACTGATGGCAGAGTGGAAAGAGTTCTGCTGTATTTCTGCTGCCATCTGTTCTTTCTGTCCATCCTCTGCATGAATCACCTTGATTTGAAAGTGGCAAAGCAGTCCTGTACTGTGAAATACTGGCCTATCTTTAGATGCAGGGGAAAGTCATACACCCCATGCCCACAGTGAAAATGGGAAGGTGCTATAAGAACAAATAGAAGTGCTGGACCAAAATGCAGGCCCTGAAATGGAATCTGCCTTCACAACTTGTTTATTTAGCTCTGGCCTTAACTTGAAACTGGCAGGTTGCAGTCCTGTGCTCTCCAAATAATGCTGCTCTTTAGCATCACAAATCCCAGGAGGGGTGTCTGCAGTGAGTGCTGCTTTTGCAAAGCCATGAGGGGTGATACAAAACACCTTTTCTACCTCAGTGCAGTGTCTGCACAGCCTTAGCAGCATGCAGGGCTGTTCACCATGTTCTGTGGGGAGTTTTCATGAGATAGGTGCTGTTCCCTGAAACCCCTTTTGTTTTTCATAGACATTGAACCTTGTGTTTCATAATGACCTGGCTGCTATGGCCATCTTCTGCAGCTCATGTACACACTCCTAAAACAAGGGATCTTTCCCACCATAAGGCAGTTTTTTTCAGAAGCTCCTGAAGTGCTTTTATAGGACTAGCAATTAGTAAAAGCAATGGGATTTGGAGTGTTTCTGGCGAAGTCTCCTGGGCTCTTTTATGGCCCATGTGTTTTCACGTGCCAGGTTGTTCCCTTACTTCTCTAATGCTTGCAGATGTGCCCAGTCAGACATGCTCTTTGTCCTGAAGCCCTGAGCCAAGCAGTTATTTGTGCTGCAGGTGTGGTGTCCAGCAGTGCTTTCCCACAGCATCCCAGGAGGTGCCATGCTGGCTCCCTTCAGCCCTGGCTGACTGGCAGCTGGCTCAGGAGCTGCAGGCAGTGAGTCTGAGGAGTAGCATGGACCTGTGCATGCTCCTGGGGAGGCTGCAGGGCTGAGCTCTCTTCATGACTGCAGTGGAGCTGCTGCCAGCTGTGCCCCAGCCAGGTCTGCCCCTCACTGTGCAGTGCTGCAGGGGGAGCCTGGCCCTGCTGCTGAGGAGCACAAGGCCCCAGGCATCCCAGGAATTCATTAAGAGATGCTCTTTCTGTCTTCAGCCTGTCCTACTGAGTCCTTCATTCTTGCTTCCAGAGAACGTCAAATTGTTATGGCTCTTTATGAGGATTCTGCTTTTTAATTTATTCTGTGATGGACATTTGTGTGTTTGTGTGTGTGTGTGTAACTGGGATGAGAAGATTAATCCCAAACAAGCTGTTGATTAAACTACTGGAGTTCAAAGGGATTAGGAAAAAAGTTTGGAAGTGACTAAGGGGAACTCTAAGGACTTCATTTAGGTTTTTAATTTCTCTAAGTTGCTGTTGTTTTGTTTTGGTTTTTTTTTTTTTTTCTCATAAAGAAAACAATGCAGTTCTAAGAGCTTCATCTAAAAGTGCCCTCCCACACCCCCAGCTGATAAAGACTCTGGATTTGTACATGTCCTAGCAAGAAAGATTAGGGAAGGAAGAAAACATCAGGATGTAGCTCAGAGAAGAGAATTGTTGTGCTCTAAATGTACCTTCAGAACTAAATGTTTCCTTATTATACAAGCATGAATGGCATGGCTTTGGCTGTGTAGAGTAAATTGTAGGGCTGACTGGCTGCTCCAGGTTTAATAAATTTGCACATAAAAGACAAAACTGGCTTAATACACCATCAGCTGTTACTCCATGGAAGCACAGTTGCATGTTGGTTGTAGTGTGTCAGCAGAGCCCTCTACCAAGCTTTCTTTGGGTTCATGTCCAGAAGATGAAATGGCTTTGCAAATACTGGACAGCTATTTGGGAAATACAGAACCATGCTTGTCCACCCTATGTCCCGTGGGGCTCACAGGGAGATCCCACTGACTTCAAGGATAATTTGGAACAGGTCCCATGCAGGCAGTAGTTTCTCAACTGTAAAACTGGGATAAAGTGGTAGTGCAGATCTGTCAGATGCTAAATTGGTAATTTATGGTGTGGAGAAGCTGAAAGCCACAGCCAATATGTAGAGTTTTCTAAATCAAGAAAATTCTACAAATACAGATTTCTAAGCCTGGATCCTCTGTAATTAGGTAACTGGACTTGCCCTTTTGGGTTTGCTCTTTTTTATTTTTCCCAGTGATGCCAAGTGCTGCAGTTCTGTGCCCAAAACTGCAAGTGACCTGTCAGTGCAACTGGGAGGAGCTGCTGGGGCATGGGTGGGGGATACCCCAAATCAGGATGGCTGGTGATGCCAAGGCAAGGCCTGGAGCAGGAGGGCTCTGACTGGTGGTTTCTGGTTCCTGTGTTGTGGGGAAATTTTGAAAGGGTTGGACAATAACTGTCAGAGTGGCTTGGGGAAGGGGGGAGTTGGTTCTGGTGTGGGACAAGATGAAGATGCATTAAATGATCTCTAGCTGGCTCCACCATTCTTTTCTATGATTTATGCATTAGGTTAATTTTTGTAATTTCCTTCTTCCTAGCTTGATTAATACTAAATTTAATTTTCTATAATCAACTTGAGCATGTAACTTGGAGAGATGAGGTTTAGGCTGATTGCAGTAAAAATCTACCTATCCAGCCTAGCTTGAATAAAGCAAAACTATTTTTATCCCTAAATTATGCAATATTTTCATGGAGCTCTGCAGCTTACTTATTTAACCTTTGAAAGGAGTGCTCTATTTTTTCAGATCACCTAATGCAAACTTTGCAAATGGGTTTTTTAATTATGAGAAACCCACCTGCATGCCATCAACCAAATTATTAGTGAGGCAGAGAAGGATAACCAATAGTGCTGCCAGACTTAAGGTGAATATGAAAAATGTTTAAATGCCGAGAACAGAAGTTGCCAAGAAATAAGTTTAAACACCAGGGGCTGGAGGAACAAATTAATATTACTTTATTTTTAGAAATAGTGAGTTGAGGCCTGATGGAGATAGACATTTCTTTTTGCAGCAGCAGCACTTGGCTATGCAATAGGACAAACAAAATCAACACAACCTTCTTTTAGAAGAAAATAAAATATCTATTTTAGTTTAAAAAAAGCCTTAGGTAGGGAGAGAAAGAGACCTTCATAAACTCTCTACTATTTTTAAGTCTCTGGTGAGCTGTTGTGCTGTTGCTTATCAGAGCTGTCTGTGATGTGGGTTGGGATGACCTTGAAGCAAGAAACTTCTGTGCAAAAGCCATTCTTGCAAGTGTTTCCCTGGAATGCCCAGTCTGGTTTCATTTCGGCTGTGCTTTACTGATGGCAGAGCCCATTGGTAGGGACAGTGAGTCTAAATGTTATT